ATTGTATGTCATCATTTCTAAATATCCTTGAAATCTATGCAAGTGTTCATTAGATGAATAGCCATTCTGTTTTTTTCTGGCAAAGTGTTTCATCACATGCCTTTTAAATCTATATTTTATTAAATATTAATGTATTAAGAGTGAATGTGTCAATTTTTCAAGTGATTTTTTTTTTTTTAAATTTAAAAAACATGAAACTTTTTTTTTTTTTTTGGTTTTGAGGGCTTGGGTTTTGGTTTTTTTCATACTCTTCCATTTGTCTGATTTTAAAATACTTACTGTTTTTATCTTTTTTCTTTTTTTTTTCCTAACTACTTTACAGTTTTTATGCTTTTTGTGTTTATTTTTAAACTTTATGTACAAAGTTTTTAACTTTGTACTGCCATATCTGCGAAGTCTTCCATTAGACGTTTGTTGGTTTCAAATTCAAAACAAAAAAATGTAGTGTTACTCATTGGATTATTATTTTATTGATTGATTTGATTATATTAAAAAAGGGGAATAACATAGAATGAGATACAAGGATATTAATATTTGGGATATAAAATCTGACACCTTCATTTCAGTGGTCAGAGAACATAGTGCTTTTTAAATAAGGTGAAAACCTTGTGGGAATAGAAAATGAGAAATATTTTTAAGATATTGTAGTAAATATTTTAGATAATATTTTTAAAAAGTGTTTCAAAGTTTATTATGCTACCAAGTGATAATTAATGCCCTATTTTAAGTGATGTACTTGTAGTAACTCTTTAATGTTTATATTTTTTTCTTCTATATAAATACTTAACTACTAACATTGTTTTAAATTCTCAAGATGTATTATAGGATTTTCCCACTAGAATTTTTACTCAAACCATTAAGTTATGATGTATTTCAAATAATTCATCTTCTTTACTCCTTCTCCAAAGACAATCCTTTTGCTTTAGGAAATCTCTTCAGATATTATTTAATTTTGAGCATATCTTCAAGTTAGAAATAAAATATGTCATTTGTTGAGGAAATTTTATACTGGAGTGCTCTAGTTCAGAATCAGACCTGTGACCTTGCCCAGCACCATTTTTTTCTGAAGATGTAGGAATGTCCAACAGGAACCATCTCAAACTTTAGTCTGGGCTCTCAGCCTGGCTTTTGGTCAGAATGAGGTGCCCTTGATTCCTTACAGAATTATAGTATCAGTAAGGCTGGAAAAGACCTTTAAGATCATTGAGTCCTGCCATGTTATGCATGATGATCAAACCCTCTTTCTTAAAGCTTTTCCAGTTCCCTGGTTTTAAACCTCATTTTTAATTTATTTTCTATTCAAATTCTTAAAACAGACGGCTTGATGTAATAGAGAATCATAGAATCAGTTAGGTTGGAAAATACCTCTAAGGTCATTGAGTCCAGCTGTTAACCTGGCACTGCCAAGTCCACCACAAAACTATTGGTGTTTTATATTTTATATTATCTTCCTACAGATCACTCTGGAAAGCTAAACCATGTTATGCTTTGGATGTGTTGTTAACAGCAGTAAAAATTTCCCTGGTGATTCAAAAAATATATCACAAAAATGTACAGAGGGTTAATCTCTGTCTAACTTCAGGTAGCTCTTTTGGGAGGTGGCACCCCCACAAAGTCAATAGACAGCTGGGGTTTTCCAAGTGTGAGCTCAGAACATCTAGGTCAGAATCAGCCTTAGTCCCTTCTCTGTAGAAGTATGAATTTAATTAGTTTGAGCATCTCTTGACACATTCTAGCTTCCTGAAGCACTGCATGTCACTGTTAAAACCTCCTTCTGATGAAGACTACTATGACAGTCTTGTCTTTTTTCTCCCCTCTCCTACACCGGCCTCTTCTAGTGAATATACCTACACTGGAGCCTGCAGCATGTCATGCCACAGTGCTCTTTTTTTGAGTTTAGACAGAAGGTGGTTTCCTTTAATGATAAGAAAAATACAGTTGCTCACTAATAAGGTAACAGCTGCTTTGTTGAGGTCAGTTCAATAGTGTAATTATTTCTAGGTGTTTGAAGTAGTCATGGAAAACCTTGCAATCCTGTACTATAAAACAGAGGAGTCCAGACCTGGAATGTATTGATTTCCAGTAACAAACAAAATCCTCATTAATTCTTTTATTAGACAACTGGCCTGGTACTAAACAAAAGTATGCTCTAACAATAAGGCTTCATAAATAGAATACTATGAAAAAAAAATATTTTGAGAACAGTTTAATTCGTTTTGGCGTATATAATTAATTAATATGATTATAATATAGTAGTAATAGCAGGGAAGATCCACTGGAGGCCTGAGAATTTAGTTTTTGTGTTTCTTTATAAGAAACTGGAAGAATCATCAATGTAGTATTAAGAAAATGAAAAATACTTTCTTTTAAAAATTCTATAGCGCAGCACAATAGTTTAAGATATTGTATGGCCATTGTATGCTGTGCACCCTAAAGTGGTGTCAAAAGCCATGTGGGAATCCAAAAGCCACTGGTAGTCAAAGAAATATTTCTGCATTTGAAGGGTCAGGCTGTAGCACTATTTCTAGTTCCACACCACTGGCATGTTCAGATGCAAGTCATGTTTCTCAGTGAAGGAAATTATATGTGTACTCATCAAAAGCAATGCCTAGTTTTCCATCAGGCAAAAACATAGTTAATAAAATACTAGTTTCTAAGTCAAAGGCATTCTTATAATCTGTAGAATTAAAAACATACTAGTCTCTGCTTGGTTTGCAGTTTCTAATCCAGTTGGCCATACCTTTTAGCACAAGATAATGAGAGGAGCTTGCTACTGCAATATTCCTTCAAAGTGAAGAGGATTCAATTACACTATTAAGCAAAAGTATAGAGGCTTTTTCAAATTTCTTTCACTCAGAGTATGCAATGGCTGTGTGGGTGCATGCAGGGGAATGGTGAAAGCTGTAAATTTTGAATGTACAAATTGCTTTGATTTTTTTCTTTCATCTTTATTGATGTCAAATTGAATGTTTCCTTCTGTGGAACAGCATATTTCATGCAAGTGTTATTACTTAAGCAAGCCTGAAAAAATATAGGTGGCCTTGTACTGTAAGACCAGAACTGATTAATTGCTGTGAAACGCGTAAGAAAAAAGATAAAACATCATCAAAAAATATCTATCTTGTTTGATGAACATTAAGGAAGAAACAGTGTGTACTATTTCACTTCTTGGCATCAGTCTAGGAAATCATGTTTAGTGTTAATTAAATCTTCTGTAATATCTTTCATTTGAAAATAGAAGTGTATTAAAATACTGATTTCTTAGATCTCAGAAATACTATTCCCATTTTCTAACTGAAGGCATCGGTTAGGAGCTTAGCAGAGCTAGACAGAGAACCAGCAATGCCAACTTCTAGTTCTGTATTTAGCAGACAGAACATGGTCCTGAACTTCAAATTAACCACTAGATGGGTAAGATGGGGCAGATGTAACTCTGCAGCTCTGTGCAGGTCCTGAGTTAACTTGGCAATGCAGCTGAGCTGATGGGCTGTGCTGTTCAGGAAGATGTGAATGAGAAACAGGATCCTTTAGCCATGATGGAGAGCAAAGCTAAAGGAGCTGCATTCAGTAGATGAACTGGAACATGTAGAGTTGTATCAAGTCTATTTTGCTTCCCAGAGAGAAAATTTCTGTTAATTTACATTGCTTCCACAGGTTTTCAGACATACATAAAGTAGCACTTAATTCTGGTCCAACCCTACTCCTCCTGTTTTACTTTTAGCGTGGAGGTGAGGTGATCTGTTGTTACAATGCTGAGCGGCTTTGAAAATCCTATTCTTTCATTCCTAAATCCTGATAAATTTATGATGAAGTTCTTATGTCTATTGTAAGTTCTTTTAAGAGAAGGCATTTCCTTACCAAATATTCAGAATATATGATGCTCTAATCCTGACTGAAGGCATGAGACACTACTCTGGAGCAAACAATAATCAGTCTATCATGTTTTAATTGCATTGCTTTAATACATGGAATTATTTTCACTTACTCCATTGACTGACTGTTTATGCATCTTTAATATTCACTGTTCTGATTTATACCTTTTGCATGTCATTTCAATGGTTATGAGGACACTCTCACTTTAATTAATTTACTTGAATTGGAAATTACAACTTTTCATGTAACTCTATTCTCTTGCTATAGATGATCCTGGTCTTTTAATCTATTTCTTTTTTGTGTCCTGTGTCCTAATTTCCTATTAGAAATATGTTAATCTGTTTCACTCTGCTTCTGACTGTGTTGTAAGTGACTAATAATTTAAGATCTATTATTAGAGCTCACCACACTGTTAGTCAATGTCACATTGTAATTTAAGGCAGCGTGAAACTATCTTAAGAAGCTGTGAAAAGTTATAAGTCATAACCATATTGGTATTTCAGCCATTTGTAAAGAATTATTTACTTGAATAACTGCTATTATTAAAAAAAGGTATTAAGAAAAGTCTACAAGTGACATTTAATTTAAATCATGGAATCACAGAATGGTTTGGGCTGGAAGGGACTGTAAAGACCACCTTGTTCAACCCCCTGCTATGGGCAGGGACACCTCCCACTAGACCAGGTTGCTCCAAGCTCGATCCAACCTGGCTTTGAACACTGCCAAGGATGGGATATCCACAACTTCTCTGGGCAACCAGTTCTAGTGCCTCACCACTCTCATGAGGAAGAATTTCTTTTTTACATCCAATTCAGAAAAACAAGCTGTATTAACAAAAACATAGTCTGTCACCATAATTTCTTGCATTTTCCTACAAATTGTGTTGGTTTTAAGTAATACTTTGTCACGTCATCAAATCCCTGAATGACATTTATAGGCTGGTAAGCACAATATGGGTTTACAACCATGGCCTTTATGTTTCCAGAATATAGGGAGAGACAGTTCTTAAATCCATTAATGATTTTTCAATTTCCTTTGGATGTTTACTTTCACTTTAACTTATCCATGAATGGAAGGCATTGTTAAAATTTTTGCTTATGTTATCTGATGTCTTTGAAATGTTTCAGGTTAATTGCCCAGATCCATGATGAATTGTTATTTGAAGTAGAAGATTCTCAAATCCAGGAATTCTCAGGTAAATACAATCTCTCTGGCTCTTTTCCTCCCCAACCCATTTTTACTCTTTATATCCTGTGATTTCTCAGAGAATAAAGAACTGATATAGTGAGAAGAAACACATTGATTCTCACAGTTAAGAAAATGTACACTAAGCAGATTTTTCTGAATGTTTTCACCACTGGCTCTCATGTAGATAAAACGTGATATACTCATTTGGAATTTATTATCATGATTATTTGTATTTGGTTTTTTTTTTGTCAAGATTTCATCATTCACTGTGTGAATCCTGTAAAAGTAAATATTTCCTCTGAGGTTTTAGAAGGAGCTGAACCAGTTTGAAGTACTTTAGGTTAGAGGCTGTTACATAAAGAGCTATTCAATTCCTCATGTAAGATTATACCGTACTGTAATTTCTAAGTTAGTGTACTGCTTTTTTATATTAAGAAACTTTATGATGGCATTCTCAAGGTTAAGGTTAGTAAAAGTTCATGCCTATGTTTCTATCCTCCTATCTGGCTTACTTCCAGACATTATTCCTTAAGCCAGAGTTTGTCTCAGTATCTGCTACAAATTTAGCAAGCGAGGGCACATAGCAGACTGTTGGGTCTCTTCTCCAGTAAGTAGTGGATTTATTCCTGTAGGCACCAAGTGTTTATTCACAAAATTTTGTCTAGTTTGAAGCTCAGCAATATGTTTATCTAAACCAATTAGGGTAATGTCACAAATATTTTAAATGAACCAATACAAGAAATATCTTCTGTTATAACACAAGCATTTAATAAAAAATTAATTTCACCGTCCTATGCTGCATTCATTTGAGCAGTGCAATGTGCTATATTAATCTCATTTCATCACTGATCTCTCTTGTGAGTATTAGTTCAAAATGAGAGCATTAAAATTCTATCTAATCTAAACAAACTACCTGGGAAATATTTCAGCTCAGTATATTCAGGGCATTGTAATGAATTAAGTTAATATATTAACATTTGACCTCTAAATACAGGAGTTAGAATCTGATTTAAATTTTAAAAACCATGATACAGTTTATTGGAGATTGCAATATCTGTTCAGAAAAGGCAATGTCTAAAAGTGACATAGTTTCAGAGTTAGGAAGCATAGTGTATTGAAAGACATCTGTAGGACAGCATAGAAGGATTTTTATTATCTTATTTTGCATCAATTTGCATAAAGTATAGAGCTAATATTATACCCAAAAGATAAAAATTATTCATGATTGATTATACATATAGAAAAACATAGATTCTGCCCTCACTGGGTAAAATTCAGATCTTCATTACTACTCTGAATTTGTAGCAAATTTGGAAAAATCAATACTTTTCAAGTATAACAGAAAAAACCTCTAGCTATCAAATGAATAATAGTAATACATTATCCCTCTATGAAAACATGATGACTGGAGGCTTTTTTCTGAAAATGCAAAAAAAAAGCAGTTCAAATACTCAAGTTTAGAGTATGCAGTGTGCAGTAATTAGTTTGCTGATCTCCAGGTCTAGCTGCAGGGTGCAGAACAAATATACCTGTAAATTCTTTGTTATGCTTTAAAGTTATCACCCTATAATTGAAGTTGCTAAGATGACCTTTAGAAAATGGACCTGGGCAGCCTAGAGGTCTGAGATACCTTGGAAATTGTCATTGCACTTAGCATAGGCTGCCAAACTTGAGTGTTCAAGATGGAAGTTTGTTTCATTCTGCTGATTGAAGATTGAGTTTTCAATTTGTCTCTACTTTGCCCTAAGAGTCAAAGAAAAAGAAAATTCTGCATGACAGGAACTTTCAGATATACTCTCCAAAGAACAGAAGAGTGATAACTTGTCTTGTTCTTAACACAAAAGACCAGCTGAGACACTGATTTCCTTCCTCTTTATTCATCACTGGGAGAGCCTTACTTGGAGTAGTGCATCTGGTTCTGTGCTCCCCAGTACAAGAGTAAAGCAAGTGCAACAAAGGTTGACAAAGATGATGAAGGGACGGGAGCATCTGTTCTATGAAGGCAGGTTAAGAGACCTGGGACTGTTCAGCCTGGAGAAGAGAAGGTTCAGAGGATCCTACTCATATATATATATCTTGAGGAAGTGGGCATAGAGGAAGTGGTGATGCCCAGTTATCAGACAATGGGCACAAACTGAAACATAGAAGGTTCTCTCTGAAGATCACTAAACAGGAACACTGTTTTACTCTGAGAGTGAGCACTGGCACAAGTTGCCCTCAGAGGCTGTGGAGTCTCCATCCTTGGAGATGTAAAAAAGCCATCTGGACAAGGTCCTGGGCAACCATCTTGAGGTGGCCCCTCTGAGCAGCAGGGCTCAACCAGGTAACCTCCAAAGGTTCCTTTCAACCTCCCTGACTCTTGTTTTTTTGCAGATAGTTCTGCTATTGGTAGAAGAACTAATCTGTGGTGTCTTAGAAGAGTCCAAAGCAAGCGATTCTTCCGGTCGTTAATGAGGGTTTTGTTTGATCTGAATAGGCAGAAAAAGGGTGTATCTGCACTGGCATCTCACTTCTAGTCAGAAGTAAGTGCTGAAGCAGATATCCCTATTGTCCCAGTCCATGGTGTGAACGGTTTCAGTTCACATCACAGAGCAGCCTGAGAACAGTTGACCTAGATTCCTTTCAGATGAAACTAAATAGGAACACTCTTTTCTCCTAATCTTTTCCAATTATTTCAGAAGCTGCTAAGTGAAGTAACAGATTAGATGTCTGAGCATTAAACCAAAGAATTGTCAGTAGGATGCATGCTCCTAATTCACTGAAGCACTTTTAAAGTCCAAATATGGTTTTCATTTCTTTACCTAAAGTTTTTTCACCCTTTTTAAAAATCCTTACTCTTCTTACTTTTATTTGCCAATATTCTTTAGCTGTCAGCTTTGTCTTTACATATCTAATGAGCTTTTTTGTCCATTCAGAAACTTTAAATTACAGAATCTGCTGACTTGCAGTTTCCAGCCTGGAGTTTAATGATCCAGAGAGAAATCTCAGTTGTACAGTCACAAAGCTCAGTAAAGGGAAAGACGTGGACTTGAAGCTAAAGGGCAGTGTTTGAGGGTTTTAATGGATTACACTTCAGTGCTGTGTTATTCTCCTGCACTTAATGTGATCCAAGAAGTACTGGCCTACTATTCAGCATGTTTGCATTCTGATTCCAGTCATGTTTCTTATCTACTTTTCCAGGAAAGCAACAACAAATATACATCTCCTTTTTCTTGTTTGTAGAATGGAATTGAAACTTAAAGTATTTTTAAGATTTATAAATAAAGAACATAAAGGTAAATAGTATTATTTCAGTAGATCGTAGTACAGAATATAAGCCTTCTCAGCACTGTTTCCCTAATGGGAGAGTCTCTTTTGAATTGCTTCATGACACTAAAACGTCCTTTTGCTTCTAAGACTCTCCTAAATGGCGGCTGAAAATTGCCACACAGATTGTAATACTGGCACTTTCTTTAGTCTTGTTTAGGACTTCATATGCTCCAATAAGAATTTTCAGGACTTTTCAATATACAGAAATCCCAATTATAGTGCACAGATGATTTGGAATCTTTTGAATCTAATAAACAAGAGGCAAGCAAAGAAATGGGTTTTTTTAGATCTACTTCTGCACAAAGTACTGCATGAGGTACAAGCTCTTATCTGCATTTTGGAAGAATACCTTCTTCAAAAAGAATCCATTGCCTACAGTTCTGTAGTACACATATGGCTCACTCTGAATGGACAAGGCAGAACATCATTTATTTATAACAAGGTTTTGACTGCCCAAGCTTTGACATACTTTGAAATACAATGAAGCACATACTACTCTGAATGGTGCAATTTTCATCAAAGATATGGCATACTATTTCCCTCAATTCTCTGTTTAGGGCAAGAACATGACAGCAAAAGAGCTTTTTAAAATCCTAATTTCCTATTAGAGGGTGCTTGGGAAGTTAAAATCAAAACATTTGGCAGAAATTGGTTTGGCTTGGGCAGAAGGCTCTCAGCTTTACCATCAATAATCTGCCTGGTTTCTGGCCAGCTTGCCTGTCTGGCTTCCTCACATCTTGAGCTCTCCAACAGCCCAGGAAGCAGAAAGGCAGATGATATTATGGGGATGCCAAAATCTGGGTTCTTGGATCCAAGAAGGCTCAGCATCTCTGAGTCCTCAAGTCTGTGTAGTCAGGTAGATAGTCTCTCCCCAGATCAGACTGGGAGTCTGTGTAGAGACTCTGGAAGAGTATTTAGGACTGGCAGAACCCAATTTTTCATTTTGTGGGGACTGTTTCTGACACTGGTGCTGCATGCTATGTTTGAAATGCCTCTTTGCCCTTGGATGATGCTGAATGCATTACAGCTAAAAGGCAGAATACACTTTGTGGTGAAGAAATGCAAAATTTTTTTTTTTTTTACAGTACAGGGATACCTGTAGTTACAGCTGTAGAATCTGGCTTCTAGTGTGTGTTCCATAAATAGCTGGTGGGTTTGAAAGGTGAACTTTGCCAGTGGCAATTACTGTGGATTCCTCCATGCCTTTCTGTCTGCTTGATTGCTTCCGTTAGTGATAATTAAATGAAAGATACTCGGTACTTGAAATAATATCTTTTTGTAGAAATATGTATTGCAGTGCTTTGTGTTCAATATCACAGTGCATTAGAGTAATTTTTAAAGGTTTTTTTAGAACTCATTTATAATTATTCAGTACTGATAGAATTAAAGAATTTCTGCATCTCTTCTTATTTTTGGTACATGTACAATATAGAGTTTGAAGCAATTTTTCTAATATTTTACCAGGTATAAAGTATTTCAGATGAAGTACTTACCTGAAATTTAAGAACATTGAAATGACCAGTCAAAACAAACAAACAAAAAAAACACAAAAAAACTGCCCACCTCACAAAAAAACCACTCACATACAAAACAAAAAAACTCCCAAAACCAAACAAACAAAAATACCACAAAAAACCAAACAGTCAATATAAATTAAACCTATTTATGTTGGTATTAAGATCACTTGCTACCTAAAGAACAGTATCTTAGACTTTTTTTTAGCATCTGCCACTACACATTTTTGGCTCACATACAAATTGCATGAAATTTCACTTTATTCTGCTACAATTTTATGCTTACTGGGTACTGAGGCAGCTGCATAAAAATGTGGATATATTCAAAAGAGGGCTGCAGTAACAGAAGAACAAAAGAATGAACTGGTCATCACAAGTTAGTGACATTTTCTGTCCTCTGAGCTTCTGTTTTCTAACTTGAAAAACACTGGTGCATAAACTAAAGATGACTCTAGATAGCTTTCAATTTGCAAAAATCCCTGTTCCATAGATCATATGTCTGGCCAGCTTTGACATGTTTCTGGAGTCATAATTTCATAGGTGAGTGCACTTGAAAAATGTCTGCAGTTCGATAGGGACAAATAAGCTTTTGTTCCACAGCAGGCATGCGTGTCTTATCTTTGTTCCTATTCACAGCCCTTTCAATAAGCATAGTTATTCTGCTCAGTGTCAAGAAAATCTAATATATGTTAAAACATATGTTAAAATTTCATTTTTTGTATAATCTTTTCACTTTGCTGTCACCATTTTTTTATACAGAATATTTTTTGTGCATACTTAGCACTTATAAGTATTTCAAGATGAGTATAATCAACAACTCTCCTAATTGCTGACTATGGGTTTTGAAAAATAACTGCAAAGATTGGGAGAACAGCATTTTACAGATGCCATTGCAGTATATGGCTGGCTGTAAAGGAACATCTTAAAATTAATAATTTATGTGCCCCAGATATACTGGATTCTTGACTGAGTAGAAATAATCATTATCCCCAAAGTCTCCAGTCTAAATCTTAGAAAAGAAGCAAAAAAAAATTAAGAATGATAGAGACATCTATTTAAACTCTGTAGTTCTGTTTTTTACTGACTACACCCTAAAATACATATGAGATAAAAAAACCATAATTGCATATGTCTGATTATTTATTCTGAGCCTTGAGAAAGAGGGAAATTTTCAGGGAGATTTGAGGAAATAGTGGGAGAATTGGATATTATGTGCATGGGACTAAAGGGGACCTCTTCTGTGATTACATACCCCCATGCCATATTGTCTCTTTTATAAAGTATCATCTTCATATGAAAAATTATTCCCACTAAGGACTATTCCAGAACATTGTCTCCAAAATCTAGAACTTTAAATTTCCAGCCTAAGTGTATTCAGCCACTATACCTATTTATTTTTGTGCAAAACTGTAATGTAGTTTAAATGCTTCCTTATTCACTGTTTACAGTCTTAGCAGACCACTGAACAGGAATCGCAGTCCAGCTGCTTTTTCTTGATATTTGCAAAGGAGTGGTTTCAAAAGGCTGAAATGCAGGCACAACAACTTCAGATTGCTTGAAATGAATGGCTTTACTAAACTCTGGGTAGAGAAGAAGTCAGTGTGACATGAGAAAGAGAACAGGGAGCTGAACTGACAGGAAAAAAAAGGAAGAAAATGAAGCAAACACATGGAAGGTTTTTAATGGTTGTTAAAGTGAATGAGGAACTATTGGGTTTGTTCACTGATGTGGCCACTTTAATCTGTACATTTTAAAATTAAGAGTATTTAAGAATGCAGTAGAATTCTGATTGTGCCAGATGCCTTAGAGCAAAAAGTGTGTGAACCAGCAGAGAAAGCTGTTGCAGTCATTGCTGCCATCATGAATCCCCTTTTAGGTATAACAGCTAAATGGGACAGAACCAGTCAAATTCAGAGATCTAGACAACTTGGGGAAAACAGGTCTAACTCAGTGCATAGGTAGGCAGCAGCCTTTGTTGTATCACTCACATATTTCAGCCCAGGAAGTGATGCTGCTGACTCATGCTCCATATTTTACTGTCTGTTGGAGCTCATTTTGTCAAGAAGACCTATTACTCTCTTTGCCCAAATGCTCTATTGCTGTTTATTTATGTAACAACACAAAAAATGTTAAACTGGACAGACATGAGTGTGCCCTTCATAAGTGTCTGGTGGAACATACAGAGCTGAGTGATTCTGATTGAGAAGTACTGAATTCAAGTGTTATCCTGTCAAAAGTTTTGTGCAGTCGTAGCTTGGAAAAAATGTTTATCCAGGACTGACTGGCAACGCTCTGAGCCTTCTGAAGGCATCCCACCTGGCTGGGGTGCCCCAGCATCTGCTGCATTGCTGGCCTCCTGGAGCTGACAGCTTGTTGAAATTCAGAGTGGGTTTCTCAAGACAGAGGCAGTCCAACACTTCTCTATTAATAGCCATGTTGACTTGGACTGGATTACAAATGAGTAATTATTTAGGCCAGCACTTCTCCTTTCACAATCTGTGGATTGCAATGTTTGTTTCTACACTCCAAAAATGTTGCTCTGTCCCACTCTGGACCATGAACTACCTCAAATATGACATGAACCAAGTTTACAGGTGTAGCTGTATGTAGATGTGTCAACAAATGTCTTGGTTTCCTCAGCTCTGGCACTTGATCTGCTGATACTTTGAGTTACTGCATAATTTGGACTTCATGGAAAAGCTAATGACAGCTCATTAGTGCACAAATCTGAGTGAGCCAGCACGTCTGAGCACTGTTCAGGCAGAAGCTGGCTATTCTCATCATTATCAGGCCAACCTCAGTGTCAGTGACATGACACCAAACATTACAGACTGCTCTTCATTGCTGGCATCATTAGAAAAGGTTTTGGCAGCAGCCACAGCAACAACATCCACACCTTGGTGGAGTTTTTGTCACTCCTTTGCCTCTAACCTCAGCTGCCAAAGAGCTGTGATGTGCAGCAAGGGGTAACTTCAAAGGAAGCTGCTCAGTAATCATGTGGGTTTCGCTCTAGCAGTTACCAGCTCGTATCACAGACCCTGCTCGTTCTCAGGTCTGTGAGGCACATGACAACATACATTATTTAGTCATCCATCCTGTCAGAGCAGTGCAGGTTCTGGGGCCACTTGGTATTCCTGCTTCACTTTCACTAGCCAAAAATGTCTTCCTTTTTAAAATATGTTGATCCATTGAATCCCTCTTTGATTTTTATTAGAACAGTATGTGTCGAAGCAGCAATCTTTGTCAAGCAAAACACTAATTAGCAGGACCAGTGATGGCAAATCTGATTGATTTTGAATAATTATAGATGCATTTGCACTGTAATAGTGAGCAAAGTGTTATGGCATGATGAGTTGTTAAGTTGCATGAATTATACTGAAGTTTAATTGTTTAGAGTCCTGATAGCTCCACTATCCCACAGGGATGATTTTTTAAAAAATTTAGCTCTGGTCTTCGTACTTTGAAGAATAAAATATTTCTAAAAGTTCAGATTCTTGTGGGCTTTTTTTCTAGCTTCTTTTTTTAAAGTGAGTTTTATGACTGCATAATAAAACTAAAATATATAAAATATCATCAAACAGTTATGAGTAGTGAAGTTGAAAATTGAGCACTCACACATGCTCTATATACTTTTATATGAAATGTAGTTGTGCTGTACTTTATTTGTGGGATATATAAATTAAATAATTCTGCAAATTTTACCCTAAAATTCAATTTTAAGAAAGAAACTGTTCACAAGAGATAAAATATCACTTTAAAGTAATCTGAGAAAGTTGTAAATGGTAATTTTTTTATGCAGAAATACAGCTATTATGTAGCAGAATATAAAAACCGTTTTTATATTTATATATATAAAACAATTCTAACATGGGAAATAAATCTGTGGGTTTTCAAATTTACCTTACAGCACTGGTAAAAAGAACAATGGAGTCCCTGCAGCAAACCACAGCCTTGGAAGTACCATTGAAGGTAGGGACAATTTTGAATTTCCATTTCTTTCTCAGGCATACTTAGCTTCGTACATCATTATTGTCATTCTGTTACGAATCTAGAAACAACTATTTTGCTTTTCACTTCAATCATTTCATGTTCATATTTGTGGTAATTGCTTTTTCAAATTACTATAAATGTTCCTAAGGAAAATAACTGAAAGGAAGTATACTCCCTTTTGGAAAGTGAGATTGCCGTAGCAATGCATATGGTAATTCAAAAATCTATTTCATTCATTTCCACAAGACTTCTGTTAGGTGTGGTAGAGTGAGAAATATGTCCCTTTAATAGACTTTCTAGATGTGCCTAGCATTTGTTACTGCTGAAAAATATTGCAAAAGATCTTTCTTCAGTAATTTTCACTTAGAAAATGGGTCTATTTAACATTTCTGGGTGGAAGCCTAACACACAAAGCAGACAAAATCACTGGTCATTGCTAAAGGTAGAGGACATAATCCACCAGACCATCATCTTTAAAAAGTGAGTAAATAACTGCACAGCTATCTATGTATTGGACCTAATTGTAATTATGTTATAAAATAATTATGTTTCTCTCTCTACAAACCTGGTACCTATCACTGTAGCTGACTGCTTTTGTTGCTTGGTAAAAGACTAAAGCTCCTGGGAATCCCTAAACTTCAGTGAGCAAAAGCCCAAGAGTTTCCATTTTCCTGACAAATGGAGTACTTGGTGTTGCCAGGCCACTCTCTCAGCAATAGTACTCAGTAAGATTCAGGGACAGAAACAGCTTTATTCTAATTATTTCAGAAATGGTTGCAACATACAGACTTGCACTAATGGAAGCAGCTGAAAAAGAAAACTGCTTGAAAATTTGTCTTGTATTCCTTTCTCCAGATCTTCTATATCTATTGCAGCATTCCAGCCACTTTGTGAGGCTTTCTCTGGAGGTCTTGCAGTTACAAGACCCTTTATGGGTCCTTAGGGACCCCATCCTTCCCGCAAAAATTGAGAAAAGATAATGAAGGGTATCCAAGATCTAAATTACTCCTTCTGCTTCCCATACTGATTTCCCTTCTCACTGTTCACTTAACCCTGTAAGCTTTTACATTCCTGTTTACTAAATATGGTCCAGTGAGACTTTTTAGCCACACTGGGATTATAAATTTCTTGGACTGATACTCCCAAGCTTTGCATACCACATTTCTGTAGGTTGCTTACATTGTACACCTGTGTTTGCCTTTCTTCTTTTGTTAAAAATTCCTTGGGAGAAAAAAAAAAAAAGAAGCCAGAGTATTTTTCAAGGTATATTACATTTAAATATTTTAAATCACTGTATCAGGTACCTAGCATTCATGCTGTATAAGGTTCTTAAAAATAATCAAATATGGTATTATTGGTGGCATATAAAGTGAATAGCAACACTATAGTACTTTCTGGATAGTTTGAGGAGATTATTTGTTGCCTTTTTCAGAGTTAACAATGTTCATGCTTTGTCTGAGGAAGTCATGGTCATGAAATAAATATGAGCACTGTAATAGGTTTCTAAGAAAGACAAATGTTTACATGGTTACTAAGATTGTTCATAGTTACAGGGGTGGAATATCATTTTAGTGTTACATTTATCAGACTAACCTTAAGTGGCAGAAGGTTTCAATGTCCTGTGGACAAATGGGACATACCTTGTTATTCACCTCTGTCTAAGGTGTTTTACTGTCACACACTGACAAAACCATCCCAGTGCATTAAACAGATGGATTCAATATGTCATTCCCATGAGAACAGTAATTCTCCATATAAACACCAACTATGCCTTAATAGGTGAAAAGAAACACATACATGGACAATAAGGAGCCCTCTGGGGCTTTCAAGAATTAGGACTTTTTAGAAGACAGTAGAAGTATTTAGAGATACACATTTCATTACCCTTGTTTGGGCTTTTTTTCCTAAGCAAATTACTGTAGAAGTCCTGACATACTTTCGGTCGTGCGGCATGTTAGACTACATCCATCATGAAGATACTTCACCTTCCTCTGAAGCCTCAAAAAGAGATCAATGACACAGGCCAGATAGAAAACACAAAGTTTGATCTTAGAGAATAAATTGAGAGTGATCTTTAAAAATAAAGTCTGGTTTTTTTTGTTCATGTTGTTTACCCTTCTATACAGTAGGAAAATGTCTTTTAGGATTAGAGATGTTGAAGATGAAAAGATTTTTGTGAAATGCTCCTGCTCTCCTTCAGCAGACTTATTTCAGCTAAATATGTATTATGTGCTCTGTTAATATGAATATTATTTTTTAATATGGAGACAAAATGTCACTAAAGTAGAGCACACATACAGTCTTAATGTCAAGAGATCTCTTTTTCTTCTTTGAGGTAAAGGGTGCTTTATCTTTGAAGTAGCTTTTTTTTTTCAAAATATAGTCCATGCTAATGAGGCAGCTTTCATGTCAACAAATCTACTGTGTACAAGAGCACCAGGAACTGCAAAACAAACTGAAATCAAACCAAAGCAACAATAAAAATACCCCAGAATTTGAAAAACGGGGGTTAAAAAAACCCTAGTATCTTTATGCATTGCTGACAAAGTTGCTGAGAGAAACATCAACATCATAATTTGTAGCTCTTTTAAAAGCATAAGATGAATTTTGCTTTAGTGTATTCCTTGCAATTCAGTAACATGTATTTGCAATCTGAAAACTACAGGTTAGTTTAAATTGTTAAGGTATTTTTATCAGAATTGTAGCATTAATTGAATATTAATAGAAATGAAGAACATTTCACATTGGATAGGTGTGTAATCTAGAGCAGTATCACATCCAAAAGGAAAAGCAAAAATAGTAATCTTGCTGTATGTGATGTGTTTATTTGTTTAAATTTTTATTTTTTTTCCTGACAGGTTCCCTTGAAAGTGATTCTCACCACTGGGAAATCATGGGGGTGTATGACAGAATTGCAGGAGATGTAAAGCAGTCATTGGGGATGTTATTCAGTACCCAAACACCTCATTGGCCTGTGCTGATTCCTCGCTGAATCACTAGGCAACAGCGCTGCTGGATCTTTCATAAGCACCTAATACTCTGCATGTGAATTTTTTTACTTCATTTTGTCTGTAGCCCTAGGCAACAGCAGTGAGATAAAACTGGTTTTTACCAGTTCATTGTGTTCCCTTTAGCCAAGGTATCCAGCGGGGAGCTGCTTTTGTTCACAGCTAAATTACTACATGTACGAAATGAAACAAGACAGTATTAACCCTTTGGGAGCATCACAAATATATTTGAGTTACACGGATGTTTAGACTTTAATGTTTAATATTTTGTGAAGTGTTTGTGTAAAAATACTTATGAGCTGCCAGTATTTGAACTGTCTCAGATGCTTAACTGTTGTGTGCAGCTTATTTTGTATTATGTGAGTAGAATATAGCTGCTTGGTGTTCATCACATATTAAATGTTCCATTCCTCAGACTTAGAAATAGAGTTAATGAACTTAATTTTTATCTAGAATTTTGGAGCAAAACAGGTAAACAAAACTTTAAGCCTAAATATATTAAAAATAAGGAGATTGTCCATTCAATTAATTTCCAACTGAATTTGTACCATGGCCTTAGCATATTTTAGATAAAGTACTACAGTTTCCCTAATTTATTATTTTTACTACTGATATAATGATAAATATTGTTTAGATAAATTTTAGGATTCAGCCTTATCCTTTTTAAGATTCAGACTTTTACTTCAATGTTTGGATTTTTTATAAATAATTTGTTTTTCTGTAGAATTTATTCTTCAAATGAGATTTGTTTTGTAACATTACTGTTTTACACATTCTGTCTCTGAGCTTGTGGAATATGAAATTGTCCTTGAAGTCTACTGATTATTCAGAAGTTGAAGTCAAGCACAAAACTTTTAAGAGTTGTTCAGTATGTTTCAGCATCAGACATCAAATTATCACAGTAATACAATTTAAATTCTTGAACTGTATGATTGTAAAGACTTTCCAGCATTTTTAATTTGTATAATTAAATAATTTTACTTTGCACTTAAAGCCATTAAACTATTAAACATTGTTTTCTTATGTTGCTCATTAATCATACATAACCTGTCAGCTGACGTGAGTCAGTAGTTTCTAAAAATTGATTCTTATAAAACTGGCATTGATCATGTAAGCAATGTCAGAACATTTTGCTTATTAATTGGGGTCTGTCTTTTGGCGGGGAGATCCAGCCTGCATGGATGTGACACCATGCCAGGTCCTGTGAGCAGGGGCCTTGATCCCACCTCTCCAGCAGAGAGGAGGTTGCACAAATTTTCTTCTGCTTTTTGCTATTTTCAAGCCCTCTGTGTTTGCAGTGACATTGAATAAGTGTGGAATGTTCTACTGTCTCATCTCTTTCACTCCTCTTGAAGATCTGCTGGTTTTGGGAACCCTCTGCTAACTAAACCCTGTTTCTCTAAGGCTACATTGCTAATCTTCCTACTATATGGAGGAAATAATAATTTTTTGGTTACATTCTCAGCTGATTTCCACCTTGCGTATTTTTTTTAGGCTGCTGTATACTTTACAAATAGATGGATGGTGTATTTTTTCAAGCCCAAACAGCACTAGGAAGACCCTTCAGCCTAACAAAAAACAAAAACATGCTTAAGAACAAAAAGAACCTCAATCCACTTGTGTGAATTGACATCTGCTCAAATGTGAAGCTACAGAAATACAGAGATCACCATACAAATTTTCAAACATGGCCCTTCACAAAAGATTGTCAGTTGTAGTTCCCCAGACGTGCACTCTGTGTAGGTTGTCATAAAAGCAGGCAAAGTTAATATTTTATTCTCCTTGTGTCGCAGTTTCTTTGGGGTTTTAAATTCCCAAAGAATCAGCTAACAGAAGGAAGAAGGCCAAACAATAAAACACCACTTTATCACACATGTCCAAGGGCTCATTCTGTGTATGAGGGCAAAAGGCAAACTGGCATAATTTTGGAGGATTGTTGCTGACCAAGTCTTGAGACGTGGTGAAATTTGTGTCCCCTCAACTTGCAGGATACATACAATGAACTTGGGATATCACCCCAGTGCTCCAGATTCTCCAGTAAAAAATCTGAGAAGCTTTCTTCACTTGAGAAAGAGTAGTGTTTGCAATTCATTTCCCAACGAGATCCTCTGGACAAGGCATCAGTTTTACCACACTTGTGTGCTGATCTATGTATAATCATAAAATCTGGGCAGTGCAGTTTTCCCAAACTGTAGTCAAGGTCTGAATCTAAAGAGCCATTATAGGAAGCAGGCCAGTCCTGACCACAGATTTCCTTCCAAATAAATATAGGTGAAAATATTCAGGATTTGATGACTGCCTTGAATTCCTTTGGGTGGCACAATAATTTCACACCAGAGAACTGAAGACCCTTATTTTAATAAATAACCACCTTGTCAGGTTATTTTGGTTCTGCATGGAAGAGACCTTAAAACATGATTAGGCTTGAGCAGGAACAATCATAGGAGCACTTTTCCATCCTTAAAGCTCTCAATCTCTAAAATTATTCCCTTTTCCTCACAAGCTAAAAAGAGGTACTGGGAGGGCAACAAAAAAAATGTTTTGTTTGAATTGCAGAACCCTACAAAATGGGAAATCACAGGATAGATGGGCAGAGGGAAATGGCTGGTTGTACTTTGTTCCAGATATCCTTTGTGAGCAGGAGTTTCATTAATTGATTCTCTGAACCCAGTAGTAACACCCTTTTGAACTTATTTGTGTCTGGGTTTAATTTCAGACATATCTTTGATGGCCTGAATCTTCCTTTAGATCATTTGTAAATCTCTTTGTTTGCCATGTGAAGTAGTGAGGAAAGAGCACTATTTCAAAATACTTCAACTCAGTGTCTGTGGGAAATGGAACAGCTCAGCTATTTGCTGGTGTTTGCATGGGATGGTGTGATCAGTTCTTCCCTGCTTGCAAATCTTGTAATGTCCATGTACAACTGTGGGATGGCAGGACTTTAATCTTCATTGCTGGTCCAACTTGATAATAACCACAGCTCAAACACTAGCCTCAAATTTTATGTGAGTAATACATTTTAAACATGAGGAGGGGAAAAAAGTGTGAGTTTTTGAAAAGGAAGAGTAGATTAAGAGATTGAATCTGCTAGATTACCCAGGACATAGTTTTGTTCATGTTAATGATTAAGAAAAAGACCCTTATAATAAACTAATTTCATTTTTTGGGAGTCAACAAAACCTGTTCCTTTCATTTCTTGTTTAATCTGATTTAAAAAGGAGGCCAAAGAACATGTTCAAGGTACTATTATAGTTTCTTGATATATATCCTCAGTGGCCTGAAACATCTTTTCTTGCTTCGCCATTTTAAGACCAGACTGGACAAATCCCTGAGTAATCTGTTTTTGACCTCATAGCTCATCCTATCTTGAGCAGGTGCTTGGACTGGAGACCTCCTGAGGTCCCATCCAACCTGAATTTTGGTCCAATGTCATTCCTCAGTTGGACAACAGCAATCGCCTGGGTGGAAGACAAACCAGAAATTCCCTTCAAACATTCTGCTGCGGCACATTAAGGATATAGTGCCATTCCAGAAGAAGCCCCAAAATGTTATGGGATTTGCCTTCCCACCTGTGTTGCCTCATTCTGTGCCAGCATTTACTATATTCCCTGGCTCACAGGCTCACTTTTGGCTGGCATACTTCCTTTTGGTATTAACACATTGTCAGAAACATTCAGGGAGTGGAAAGGAATCGTTTTTTCTGCCATTCTGCAATGGTTTTAGTAGAGAGTGCATCTCTGGGTTTAAAATAAGTTTCAATTGTGCCTCCTCTTTGCCTTGCTGGGAAACATTCCCAGCCTAATAATCAGCTCGTCCCTTCTGGAGACAGCAGTCAGACTGTTGTCACTGGTCAGCTGCTTCTCTTGAGACATTTGAAATGCAGTTCTACCTCCTGTTTCTGGAAGTCCCTTTTTTGTTACCAAGCATGTTGTTACTATCTACTCCAAGTCCAGGCAATTTTTTACTCTGTCTGCTTGTGTTCTGAATTATGGAGGTCCAACTTCCAGCCAATATTGGCACATTTTTGGTGCGCTTTTCCATGTTCCCTTCTC